AGACATTTCCAGACTGGTAGAAAGTATGTCGAGGCGTCTTCGAGATTTAATTACGGCAAGAGGAGGAAATACGCAATATTTAAATGTTACTTAAAAATCTAAAACAAATTTTATCAGGCTGTCTTTTTTTTTCATTTTCCTTAGCAATTTACATTTTTTTTAATATACAAAGACTCAATTATTAAACTTTAAAAAACGTGAAACTTTTGTTAATATATTAAAATATGTAAAAATCAAGTTATATTACAAGTGGGTGGAATTTTTTGCCTCTCAGTGTAGATCGGAAATGACCAAGATACAGATCCACCACCCCGCAGATTCCAAGAGGAAATCTTAGGCACTGAAGCGCAAAAAATCATTTTATAGTAGACCTAAATCATCGTAGAATATAATTTTACTAAATAACGGTTTACCCACTTAGTCTATTAGTTAGCACTGTGTCTACGACGATTGTTTTTTTCCGGTGATTAAACAAAAGTACACGATTATAAAATGCCAGGGGTTTTCTAAAGTACGCTTTGGCAGACCGATTAATTACTTTTGCGCTTTCCTTTCACAGGCTAATTGCCGAAAATGTACGATATACCTGTAATAGTGACAAACAAAATCTCTCTCCAGGTCGAAGATCGGAATTGTTCGCTTTGGTGCTGATTTTATTAGGATGAAGGATGGATTGGACATTGTACTACTTCATACAGGCCAATAAGTCTACTACCTACTTTTGGTAAAATTTTAGAAAAACTATTGAAAAGAATTCTTCCGATTATAAATTCTCAAAACACAATCCCAGACCAACAATTTGGTTTTCGCAACCGTCACTCAACTGTCCAGCAGTGTCACCGCGTGGTAGACATTATTTCCTTCTCCCTTGAGATGGGGCAGTACTGTCCCGGAGCCTTTCTTGACGTAAGCCAAGCTTTTGATCGAGTTTGGCACTGCACAGTTATCTCACTGACCGATTCTTCCAAGTCATCGAAGGCCATTCCCTCTCTTCATATTTTCCTATCCGTGCTGGTGTTCCTCAGGGTAGCGTTCTAGCCCTAAACTATACCAGGTTTTCACAGCTGACATGCCATCTCATCCCGAAACCATCACATTTGCATGCGATACGGCAATTCTCTCTAGCAACTCCGACCTTGTCATTTCCACTCGAAACCTCCAACAACACCTCATACTACTAGAGTCTTGGTGTACAAAGAAAAGGATAAAATTTAAAACAGACAAATCCACCCACACATTCACTCTTCGTAAAAAGATCTCCCTCCCCTGTTTTCTTAAACAATATTCCCCTCCCAACTGCGGACAAGGTGCTGTACTTCGGATTGTACATCGACAAACGCCTGACGTGGAATCCTCACACACGAATGAAACGTCAGGAGCTTATGACACGATATAGAATTCTTGCACGACTTCTTGACCAACGTTCTAATTTACCTCTCAGAAATAAAAGGCTGCTTTACAACACCATAGTTAAGCCGATTTGGACTTACGGACTGGAAGTGTGGGGTTCAGCCAAACATTCCAACATTCATCGCATTCAAACTGCCCAGTCTTTAATACTACGAAAAATATTAGATTTTATGTATCGAACCAAACTACACATACAGAATTACGTATTCCTTTCGTACAAGATGAAATACGTTTCCGTTACCGTAAATTTCATAAAAACCTCCCAACTAACGTAAACGAGCACATCAGAAACCTCGCTTCCCGACGAATCCCCTCAAACCCTCCCCGCCGACTGAAGAGACAATGGCCGCGAGATCTCCTAGGAAGTGATGGTGATGACAGTGAAAGTGATAATGACACACGTATCAAAAACAAACAATCTTGTAACATTGGAGTAACACCAATGGGTGTTTTCTCCACTCTTGGTTTTAATTTGTTATATATTACCTTGCTCACTGTTACTTATTACCTACTTTAAGGTAGTTGTAATGTACTACAAAAAAAAGAAGTAATTATAAATAAATAAAATAATATTTATTAAGATGAAAAGATTGAAGGTATTGCGCAAGACCGAGCAGGGCGATTTTCCTACTTTTTTTAATGCGTTGAACACAATTTGAAAGGAGGCCTCTAATCATCAGGTCATATTACCGAAAAGTCTCCATTGGTCCGTGGTTTATTAAGACGGGTTATATAATACACCGAATTAATTATTTTTTTGTTAAAGGAATATTAAAGATAGGAAATTCAACGGGTAAGAACAAACCATTTCCTAGACTCCCATGCCAGGAATAAAAGCTGCTTTGTCGTATTTGTATAAACTGTAATCCCATTTTTACTATATGAACAATACCTTTTTTATACCAATTAATTATTATTTTTATCTAAGGTTTTTGGTTGAAATGAAAAATTAGTGTCACGAGCGGGATTCGAACCCACGACCTTCGGCTCACGATAGCTCAAGTGGTTAGAGCAGTGTCGTATTTAGCCGAAAGCGTGGGTTCGAATCCCGCTCGTGACCATAATTTTTATTAACTTAATTGGGATAATTAATATCGTCAATTATGACCACTTAGCAAATTTGGACCAAATTTTTTAGTTTGTTATATACTTGACTACACAAAACCGGCAGCTTCGGCCTTGACCCCTTTTTAAAACAACAGAACACGTCCTGTAGAAGGAATTGTATTATTTAGAAATGTAAAAAGTACAAAATCTTTGGAACGAAAGCAAAAAGAGATTTGGCCGAGTGCGGAAGGGAACTCCCTCACGTACTGGAACAGAAAGAATACGTGCCGGGCACTGATTTAAAACGGCCCGGCCACCCTTTCCCCTCGGGCTTTACCTAACTTACACTTTTTTCTGATGAAAGGCAATTTTCGTTTTAGGGTAAAAGTAATTTCCTTCGAGAAAAAAGCTAAACAGTTGTGCTTTTTGCGCCGTAACCAGCATATCTGTTATGGTCATGTTGCAAAAGCAAAAGTTCAAAAATCCGCCTTTTTTAAAAATCAAAGTGAGAAGACAGATTTGAAATATCTGTTGTATACGAATTTCTTGTACATGGTTTGTGCAGCGTACAGATTTTTAAAAATGGCAGTCAACAGTATGAATAGTTTTAATTGCAAAATTATTGATCAATAATTATTGATCAAAAGTATTGATCGATCAATTAAATCAAAAGTATTCCAGAAGCTAATGAGTAGCTTAATTAATTAAGATCTTTAAGTCCAAAAAATCCAAAAATATTTAACGAGAACAAAATGAAAAGTCGATAATTTTTACATAAATTAATTAAGGTTTTTAGTTGAGATGAAAAAAAGTTAATGGCACGAGAGAGATTCGAACCCACGACCTTCGGCTAGATAGGCCGCTGCTCTACCACCTGAGTTGCAAATTTCCGCTCAATGAATTTTCGTTTTAAACGGATTTCCGCGCATCTCATTAGCGATTCTTAGACAATAGTCTCGGAATACGAAATAAAAGCAAAAACACATTGCATTGAATAAATATTAATAATGAACTGTGTTGATTATTAAGAATAATTTCGAGTAGCGATCATACAGTAAAATTTCAATTAATTAAGGTTTTTAGTTGAGATAAAAAGTGTAATAAAGATTGGATCGAGGTAATGATAGCTCGGGTGGTAGAGCAGCGTCGTATCTAGCCGAAGGCCGTGGGTTCGAATCTCTCTCGTGCCATTAACTTTTTTTCATCTCAACTAAAAACCTTAATTAATTGTAAAGTATTAATTGGTCATGCGGACCACGAAAATAGTAATTTTACATAAATGTTCAATAAATATTAAGTAAATCATTTTTTTAATAAATTTTATAACATTTGTACAAATTTATTACAATTTTCAGGGATATTTGGTCATACTAATTGTTGTAAGTTCCGCTTTATTATTTTAATGATTTTCTATTGAAAAAATTAATGACTTAAGATTGAAAAAATGATGAAAAAACATCATATTTAAATCGATACGTGTACAAGTATAAAACACACTTGTCTAATGACTATTGAGTAATGATTTTTTTAAAAATCCTTTATAAGCTTACTACTATCACTGTTTTACCACTGCTCATGGTTTTCCATGATTTTTTTTAATAGAGGAATCTATTTTTTACATTCTTTTTACAAAAAGAAAGTAATTTTAAAATTCATTATCTTAATCAAAAGTTATAGCCAAATTCCTAAAATGACACGAACTTTTTAATTTATGTAGAATTCAAGTGTTAATAATTATTGACACTTTATTATAATATAATGTTTATTTTATTATTTTTAAAGACACTTTCCAACTAGAATTCCTTGCAAAGTCATTGGACACAAAATTTTCTATTTCGATATCCTGACTATATAAACAATATTGAGTCGAGCTTGAACTTTGGCCACACTGTATATAATAAATTAAATAAATTTTGAATTTTAAAAAGTATCCTGTTATAATGTTGGGGAACATTAATGCACTAAAATACTTGCAGTGGTGAGAGAACAACTTTAGAGAAAACTGTTTCCTTAAAGAAAAAAATCGGCGGGATGAATTTGCCAGGATAAAAACGAAGGTGAGCTCGATCAGGCTGGAGTTGGTATAAGGAAATTGCCGATTGCCTATAGACCTGGTTATAAAAACATTCGAATAAAAATATTAACACGAACAATACAAATGGATATTTGGAAGCATGTGCTCAATACATCATACATCGAACTCACGATGGCTCAAGTGGTATGAGCAGCGGCGTATTTAGCCGAAGGTCGTTGGTTCGAATCCCTTTCGTGACACTAACTTTTTCATTTCAACCAAAACCTTACGTAAACATGTACACGACATTTGAAAAATGGCAAAAAGGAGGGAAAATTCGAAAAGGTGGGGTTGGGATGGGAAGTTGGTGTCCGTGTGGATCGAAGACACGATAGCTCAAGTGGTAGAGCAGCGGTGTATTTAGCCGAAGGTCGTGGGTTCGAATCCAGCTCGTGACACTGACTTTTTATCTCAACCAATACCTTATATAAAGATTAATTAGTTGATCATAATATTGATGTCTACTTACCTATGACACGAAGGGCAGAGGGACGGCGGCGGTAGGCTGTTATAAATGAGCGTCTTCTCTTCGGGATGTTCGTTCGCCGACTTGAGACCTACTTCGATTAGACTTCCGTAAATTGGGCCGAATCCGTCCTCTGAAACAAGTAAAATAGGCATTGGATCGGATATCAAAGTGAGGAAACGCAGCGAGGCCAAACGGGCCTCGTAACTGTCAAAACGCAGTTGCAGTTCTTAAACCAAATACATCAAAATACAACATTCAAACTGTTCATTTAAACTTAAATAATGTTAACTTTTTCTAAGCAGTTAAGCAATTCAGTTTATTTAGTGGGGATACAAAGTTGTAAAGAAAATTACAATCTCTAGTCTTATTGGTTGAAATAATAAATAGTCGATAAATAATATAAATTTAGAGATTTCCTTTTGATGTCTGCGACATGTACTAAACTATAGTCGGGTTGTTTCCGATCGTTTGGTCTGCCCATCACTGAAGATAGCGAGAAGGTGCGACGCTTCTTCCACAGAATAAAACAACGAGGGTAGGCAGGCCAAAACAATCAGAAACGGATAAAGTACAACTTAACTATCGTCCGTTCCTTTCTCTAGTTTGTCGTATTAACATCAATTACAGGGACAAGTAAGTTAATGTCTGGAATTCATTATATCTGTAAATATAAATATAAATATTGTTTCATCAATGAAGACAGGTGCCAACAATTAATCGTCCTTTTAAATAGGTCATTATTTTTATTGAAATGCGTTTCTAAATGTGGCGGCCAGGTGGGTCCAAGTAAATCTACAGGCATAGAAAATATTTCCGTCGTACACACTTTTGGACCTGAGCCCAACAAACAAACCCATGAATAATAATTAGGCGAAAGAAGGTAGCTGCGGCGTCTGGCTAAATATAATTTATAGTTTGTTGTTTCATTTATGGGCCGACGAACAGTTATGGTCATCACCGGCCCTCTACGAAAGAGGCTATCTATCTCCATCTATGTTCTTTCTCACGTCTTTTAAGTGTCATTCAGTCATTTGAGTGTTTTGTTTTCAAGTTGAAGGTCATTGACTCTCTGCTATATAAATGATGTGGTTTTGTACTGTTTCAATAACTTACAAGCCTTCGTTGGTATTTAAGATTATCAAATTGGTAAAAACAAAGACAAATAAACAAGAAGACTAACCAGGAGGGACAAGGAGGTTATTTGACTACATGGTCTTCTTAATAGTTCTGTGTTGAGCAAACCATGGATAAATAGCAGGGAAAATGTAATTATAAACAATCCTACATTTCCTAATACATACCCACAAGACTTTAAAAAAAATACACATAGTTCTTTTGAAGTGTTTTCTATCGGCCTTCTGATGTCACATATGTTGTACAAGTATCGGGGAGAAGGCCATCAAAGAAGTTGGTTCATATTTGAGGTTCACACGTTATTAGTTTTTATTTAAGTTATAGATTGTACTACTGATGAAGGCATTAAATAGGTCGAAAGCTTGACTATCATTTTTTTAGTTTTCTTCGATTGCCTTCTCCTTGATAGTTGTACACCATATGATACTACATATATACATCTAAAAAGTCTAATGACCTTGTGTCTATTAGTGAACACACTCCTACAAGCTTCTTGCTTTCTATATCGTACGGTTATTTTTCCCTGTATAGCGGACACCGAAGCGGTCTTCACTATCAGATACCCATAGGCACATGCGTAGCCTAGTGGGCATGAATCCTCACACGAGCATGGACCTGAGACCAATGTCAGACATCTCCTGCAGTAATTTCGTAAGTATCCTCTGTACTCAGCGGTTACTCCATTCTTTTCTTAACCGTCTGTCTAAAAATATTTTCGGATTGTATGAGTTGAAATCTACTACTATTTGTAAAAGACAAAACAGTTGGTATAATATAGCTTTTATTTCAGTATGGTACCTTCTTCAGTCTCGGCTTTTTGTAGTCCAAAAGTTTAATTTTTCATAATCAGTAGGCAATTTAATTTCATTATCTAAACAATACTAGGTGTTTAATTAATTTTTGCAGTAAAATTACTTTAATTGTACTGACAATACTAGAATAATACTAATAGATAAATAATTATTATTATAAGATTGCAGAGGTTCGTAGCCAATTTTTATTCTAAAGGGAATAGTGTACGTTCGCTAATTGAGAAAATATCAGCCGGTTTTCTAATTATACGATAAATATTCGTTTGTTGTGTGTTTCTTAGTGAACTGTTGTTTCATAATTTGTTGAAGTCGTGAGGAGCGGTCAAGAATGAGGTAGTTTAGAACGTTTTTCATTTTTTGGCCGTCGTTTCGACCTTTATTCGGGTCATCTTCAGGGCATAAATTTGGCGCTAGTCTTGTGGTTGGTTTGGTGTCACACTTTCACACAAAACCAATATAACATCACAAGAAGAGCACCACATTTTATGCCCTGAAGATGTCCCGAATAAAGGTCGAAACGTCGGCAAAAAAAATGAAAAAGTTGTTTTTCTAAACTACCTCATTCTTGACCGCTCCTCACGACTTCAACAAATTTTATGTTTGTGATTTAATCGTTATGGTATGTTATGATATTGCTGGCAGTTCTCATTTGATTTTTTATACATGTAAATAAATCAGCTTCTTGATGATATATTAGATTTAGTTTTTAAATTAATTACGATTCAACTTTTTGGTTTCCTATGTTATGAAACCTTTCAACCGGAAAACAATCATCTCGTCGGCATGAGCCTAGTTATCGAGAAAATAAACATAGAAACAACGGTGCTTCGTATGTGGAGCATGTAAGCTTCCTTCCTTTTTTGCATATTCACAACCGGAAGGGCCAGGCTATGTGAATTTGGCCGCTAATGAACAACAAAAGGCGTTGTTAATTAACGTCTGCTGGCGATTTCTTCGCGATTAACGTAATCGGTTTTGACAAACCATAAATTTTCCCTTATGTAAAAGACTTTTAACAAATCCTCCAAACTATACAAAATGGCTTTGTCCTATACCTTTTATTTGACTTATTTTAATAATTTTTCCCTGTAAGCTTTTTGTCGGTCCCAGTTTGGTGAGGAAAGTCCCCGTTTCATCTGACCCTAATCCAGAATAAAAGGACCGTCTTTGATTCTACGGCTCGATAAGTGCAGATTGCCGTTCTTCAGAATCGGCCAACACTGCACCACGTAATTTCAGAATTAGAAACCAGGGCAGGCGGCACAGCACGGGCTGATTTATAGCCGTGCAAATACGATTTTTTTAAATCCAGGCTGAAAATGCGACAACTTTGAACAGAATAGCAGTTTGCAAATATCCTTGATTATTTTAATTAATTACATTTTCAATAAATGAAATGTTTTTTTGTTTTTTTTCCCCAAGCCTTTTATGAGTGAGGAAGGAAAAAGTCAGATCCAAAATTATATTCAAATCACGTTCGTTCGAATCACGCTCGTGACACTAATTTTTCATCTCAACCAAAAACCTTAGATAAAAAGAATAATTAATTGACATAGGTGAACATTATGTATTTACATGAATAGATAATAGGGTTTTTTGTCACATTGTCCCAGTGCAAGTACCTCGCATACATTTTTCTCACTTAGCACCCCCAAATGGTTCACGAAAATCTTCAATAAATCATTGCATTTACGGCATCTCTTGCGTATTCTTGTTAGGTCTGTTATGTTTTATCATTTTCATACTTATGAGCTTAAGTATCGCGATGCTCGGTTAATCCTGAATTATTCTTATTTAACAACTTACTTTGTTGGTTTACGGAAATCTTTGATGCATCGTTTGCCTATTCATGTCAGGGACGTCAAAATCTGTAGAAATGATGAATAATGGATTGAGTGCGGTGTTCAATCGTTTTTTAAAAAAGAAGTTCCTACTAGCAGTAAGTTGTTTTCCAACGATCTGGATTTCGAGCCCTTAGCTCATCATCAGGTTGGAGGAATCCTTCCACCTGATGATGAGCTAAGGTCTCACAATCCGGATCGTTGTAAAACAACTTACTATCTTTTTTTTTTTTTTTAAAGGGGCAAAATCTGTTGTTTTTTCTTTGTCACATTTGTGAGTTTAAGCATCGTGATACCATGGAACGAATTGCAAGTGCATAAGCTACTACTCATTTATAATCTTGGCTCCATGGTTCTCGACAATCTTGAATTAAAAATTGCATTTATGGCATGTTTCGTATGTATATTAATTGAACTAGGACAATGGAAACAATAAGGAAAAGGTTTTGAGTTCAGATTTCGACTGAATCCCTAATAACCGAGTTGCGTGGCTCTAATGATACGTCTTCGTTTGAAAAAAAAATTAATCTAACATGTCTAAGGGAAAGGACGAATCGCTACGCTTTCTCTTATCAGTCGTAATTTCTTCTATGACAACTTTATTTTGTCTGATTAAAATCTCTTTTCAAAATGGTGTCACTCAAACTATAAAAAAGTGAAATATTTTACGGCATTCAAGCCCTTGGATGAGCGGCCATGTGAGAAAAATACATAAGAAGTAGGCGCATAAGGACACCAACCGAGGAGAAACAACCAGGAAGGATGAAGCGCAACCATGTGCTTTTAATTTATAACTGATTTATTTTAAATTAGGAGGAAATGTTCAGAACAATTAACACTTTTACTGTTTTAACGTACCGTGAAGTAAATTTGCTCCTGTGATTACCGTTCCAATGGCGAGTATATTAATGTTTAAATCATTAATGTCTTTCTTCGAGAAGTCGTCCATTTTCTTGTTTATCATAATTCAACTTAATTTTGAGGGAGAGAGATTATTGCATTGTTTATAGTCGCAGTGATTGGGTCAACATTGACCTCTCTTACATCAAACGATTTATGTCTTAACAGTGGAAAGGCGAGAAAATCGGAGATAAGAAGGTTGGCAGATAAAAATAAATATTAGATTATTGATATGTATGAACTGGAGTACTGCGATCATCAAAATCATAGATTAATATGACGTAAAAAGAACGAGTGGTGAGAGAGGCCTACGTAAATCGTAGATATCGAAAAAGCTAGAGGGAAAGTATAAGAAAGACTTCAATGTACTATCGGTATAATAATATGTATTCGTTGGCATTTTTAATGCGATTATTTTTTCTGCCCTTTTAAAAAGTTTGGCA